TCCAGCATACTAGGGCGAGCCTAGTACACTCAACGTACCCTTATGTATGCGCATCATACTCTTCCTGATCCAAAATTGTGTTATTAGCCATTAGGGCATCTCATGGCTATATCCTCCTAACCCCAAGGGTTAAAAATGACAATGATAATAATGAGGGAAAGATTTGAAAATACATGCAAAATCTCGGGATGTTACACTAAGGATCGATATTTAAGGTTTAGGGCATATGGAGGCTAGTAAGAAGTCAAACTCATGGGACTTAATGAGCTTATATAGGGGTTAAACCCTAAAAATTAGGGTTTCAAGATGGCCTGATTATGCCTAATGTAACCCTCGTACGCCCAACGTACGAGGCTCGAACCCGCGATCACACCCTCGCTAGTACGCTAAGCGTACACTATGGTATGCCCCACATACTAGCCATAAGGACCAAAAATGAAATATTTTAAATACAAAAGGCTAAAAGGAAACATACCCAATTCAAGTGTTACATTTGGTGCTTAAGTGCTCAAAATGTGAACAACTTTCAGCGTAGTGAGATAGAAATGCATCTTCTTCTGCCAGCGACGAAAATCAGTGCCCGAATTTGGAAGTCATGTCTTTAACAGATTCCACCACTGATATTCTTCACAAAATCATAGATTGTGAATGTAATATTTTGGGGTCTTAAAATATCAATTAACGTGGATAATTTTTGGGATTGTGATTGCAACCACTTTCTAAAATATGTGCTTTTGACCCTTATGCCTAGGGTATCACATAATCTGATTTGAGATATCTAAGAAATGCAATTTGGAAATCAGACCAATTCCAAATTTGAAACACAGAAAAATATACCTTGTTGTTTTGTGTTCTTGAGAGATAGAACAAATTAAAATATGATTTTCGTGTATCTAAAACCAGCGGAAGGTTCTTATATTAGAGGGAAAAGAAGTTAGTGGTAGTTACATGCAATTTAGTGCCAAAACAAGTGGTTGGATATATGATTATAAGACATAACCGATTCTTACATCACAATAATGTCACCACTTTTTCTGAAACCACCGCTAGGGGCTCTACCCTTGGACCCTGCTAGGGGCGCTGCCCTTAAACCCCGCTAAAGGGTTGCAACCCTTTGGAACACTACACACAGGGGCGTTGCCCCCGTATTCCCGAGTTCATAATTATCACACCAAGTGTGCACCCCGCTCCTCCAAGCTCAATTAGTAAATGAAACACAACCTATCTCATTATTAATAATAATTACACCAAAATATGTTGATCACACTAAAATCACCAACAAGTAGTAGATTATATGAAACATGGTGTTCACTATTCGGATAAAACTGAAGTGTTCGATTGGATAATTTTGATTGGATTATTTGGTTCAGATATTAAGATTTTTGGATAACTTTTCAGCAAAACCGAATTATTATCTTGGATTTCGTATTGGTTATGGTTTATAAAATTAAAACCGAATAGTCCAAAAAATCGGAATAAGAGTTTATTATATATATATATATATATATATATATATATATATATATATATATATATATATATATATATATATATATATATATATATAACCCGTGAGAACCACGGTTATAAAATTAATTAAATTTTCTTATTAAAAATTCAAAATTATTAATCAATTAGTTTAAGAGATATTTTTTTTTAGTTATATAAAATATAATCGTTGATTTAAATAAATACGTGAAATTATATCACATTACAATCTGTATTAATTTATTTTTATTTTTTAATCTATTGTTATTAATTTAAAATAATTAGAGTGAAAAAATTTAAAATTTGAAATTTAAACTGAAGAATCAATTATCAATTAATAATTTAATATAATTAGAATGAAATTTTTAAAATTTGAAATTTGAAATTAATAAATAATAGATCGACAAGTGGTATGATGTGTAACATACAATATTAATGAGAAGTTCTAATAGTATGACACTTGACAATAGGAGAAAAAACCTATTTATTTATTAGAATATATATATATATATATATATATATATATATATATATATATATATATATATTCATATAAAACATTTAATTATTTATCAATTTACTAAATTATATTTTAAAATAGATTAGAAAGTATTATCATATAAAATATCTTAATGTGCTTCTCAAAAGTTTTTTTTTTATCTATAATATATTAAATTATTATACGATTTTTGAATAGTTGTTCATAAATTTTAATTTCCAAACAAACAATTTATTTTTGTTTAAACTAGACTAATATTCATGTTATATAAAATTTTAAATGTTCGACTCTTTTAACACTGAACTATAAAAGCCGATCCAACATAATTGAAATTTGGTTTGTTTTGATTATATTTTAATTTAGTTTAGAGTATTTGGATTCACTTTTTGAAAACCGAAATTAAATTTGATTCACTTGATTGGATCTGATCAAATTGATACATCCAAATGGACACTCATGCAAGAAGTTGACTGGTTAAGAGTTGATTAGAAAACAAATGATGCATAGGAGTTAGGGTGTCAAAAAACCCGAACCCGATTAACCCGACCCACCCTAGCCCCAATAAGGTAATTAGGGTTGAACCCGACCCTAATTACCTTATTCAAGTTAGGGTCGGGTCGGGTTAATCGGGTTCGGGTTTTTTGATACCCCTAACTCCTATGCATAATTTGTTTTCTAATCGACTCTTTACCAGTCGACTTGGGGTCGGGTTTATGGTTGATTTTTACAAAAAAAACCGGGTTTCGGGTCAACTTAAATAATTTGGTTAGGACTTCACAACCTTTACATATTCCAACACTCTCTACTTGAACAATACAAAAAGACCACAAACCCTTTGAAAATGTAAATTTTTGTGACTCTAGAAATATATGAGGGTCAAGTAACTCCCATTTGTGAAGTCGAAGTCCAAAAAGATATAAAACCTCCACATCTCAAAAGTACTAGAGCAGCTGAGAAAGTAAAATTTTTATTTTGATAATTATTTCTACTTTAAACTAACTATAAACATGAATAAACTACATGGTGTTGATCGCTAACTAGAGATTGAAAGTTCATGTATTTAATATTTCTAATGGAAGATCTCTTTTAACTATTATCGTATGCATGCTTTCTCATATGTTGTAATAACCATGAGGACCATGATCTTTTATTTTTAATTTATTTCAATTTGTATGCATTCTTGATGTTAAGAAAAGAGTAAAAAAATGGTTTGGGTTTATATTAGATTGGACTCTTGAAAAAACCATATATATTATGTTTAAATTAAGTGTTTAATGTATTAACCCAACTAACCCGACCTTATTAACCCGAAACCTGATTAAACCGAACCCGACAAACCCATACCTTAGTAGGGTTGGTTGTTGGGTTAAATTATTTTTTGTGAAAACCCAACTAACCCGACCCGATTAACCTGAAATCCAATCAGGTTGACCCGATTAACAGCCTTAATAGGAGTGCTTGATAGTAAGTACTCCTAATTAGCATGAAAGAGAAATTGAGATGTAAGATGTAAGTTATTTCCCTAAGATTAAGGTGCTTAAGTTGTTTTATCTAGACTTGTTTTTACTAAAACTATTAATAAAAACAAGCTTGAATTTTGTACATCCCGACCAAAACATTAATAACAACAACGAATTCAAATGTTATAAAATATAACTATTTATAAGTTCATGAATGTGAGCAATAAATGGTTTGATGTCAATTATTTTCAAAGAGATCGGAATGTTTGGCTTGGGTATGTGCCAACCCACTCATGGATTGCTTTATTATGGATAAAATTGAAAGGGAACACGAGACAATGTCACACACCAAAAGCCAAAATGTATCATGTTATTGATGTAACCAAACATTCTCTAATTGCGAATCATTAATACACTTTCAACTATAAATTAGTATGATTCCATGATATCCGGTTCGACATATAATTTAATGAACATAAAATATCATAAATAAGAATTATCAACCAAAAGCAAAGTTTTAAATATTATAATTGACCATAAAAAGTAGAAATTTGTATTATTAGTTACTAAAAACAACATTAAATAAATATGACAAGTACGAAAATTATATTATAAGCTATAAATATTGCATCTTGAATGTCAAGACAATTTAACTTTTTTTTTTTCCTTCTGTTTTTTGCTTTAACATGTCCAATTAAATACTAGATAAGTTTAGTTGTATACTTGTATTCCCTAGCAAATTTCATACTATAAATAATTTTCATTAAACGAAACAAAATATAATAAATTGTTTATATTAAAAAAACCAAAGATTGGATTCTTTTAACTATATTGATATTGATTGACTTGGGGGTAAAGAGAAGTTGATTTAAAGATGATTAGTGTAATCAGTAGTATGGCGGCGCGTGGTGATAAGAAGCGCGTAGACCCCAGTGTCTACTTGCTACACTCATCAACTAAAAAGCTGAGAACCTTGTCGCTCCACACACACATGCATCGATCCTTCATTCATCTCCATTCTCTCTGCTCTTCTTCTCCCTTTTTTCCTGATCAAACCAGCTGTAACGAGGTGAGATAATTGTCAGTTTCTGCCTTCTTTTTTATCTTCAATTTCAAGGTACAATACTAACAACTGTGTGTGTTCCAACCATCCATATCTATTCACTAACTCTCTCTGTGTGTGTGTGTTCCATTTTCCAACAGGCTTTTCCTTAATCATAGATCATGACCGTATCTATCGACATTTTAGGTTTTATGTTTTGTGGATTTTTGTTTTCACAGCCTAAATTTTGCAATTACCCGTTTATTAGTAGATAAGGTTTTTGGGTTTGGGTGAGTGGTTATTACTTTTTGTTAGATTGATTGGAGAAGAATTTTGTTTAAGGTCTTGAATGTTTGTTGTTTAGTTGGAGGAATTATTTAGGGATTCGGTTTATGCTTTTACTTAGATACGTGATGATTTTCGATTCTTGGGTTTAGATAGAGACTACGCCAGCAGATAAGGTATCTATCTGTTGGATTCTAATCGGTTGTTTCTTTGACATTTCTGTTTTAGCTTTCGAAGACTTGAGAGAAATATACCCACAAGTCCACAAGTTGAAGTAAAGAATCTCGCAATCTCTAATTGGAAAGTTAAGCAAAGTGCTTCTTGATTTCGTTTCTATATACGAAGTCTGTAAAACTCTTGATCATGAGTTTTAATCCAACTGTTCAACAAGTATCAATGGTGCATTCTCGTTTCCAGTAATGGGTTGTGCTTTTTCAGTAGACTGTAACTGTATCGGTGATATCTGTTTACCTAGAGATCCTAAAGTGAAAGAGACCGATAATGTGGGTACATCTGAAATCGCCGTGTTTTCACCCAAATCTTCATACAAAGAAGACGACGGAGACACAAATCAGAATCCCGAAGCAGGTATAACAAGGTTACGAAGGGTTTCAGCACAGTTTCTACCTCCAGATGGGTCTAGAATCGTCGTCATTCCAACAGGAAACTACAGGTTACAGTATTCGTATCTATCTCAAAGAGGCTACTACCCTGACGCCCTCGATAAAGCCAACCAAGACAGTTTTTGCATTCACACGCCATTTGGAACAAACCCTAACGACCATTTCTTTGGGGTTTTCGATGGACATGGTGAATATGGTACTCAATGCTCTCAATTCGTGAAGCAAAAGCTATGTGAAAATCTCCTTAGAAACAATCGCTTTCATGTCGACCCTGTTGAAGCCTGTCATGCTGCTTTTTTAACAACAAATTCTCAACTACACGCAGACAACAATGTAGATGACAGCATGAGTGGGACAACAGCCATTACAGTTTTAGTTCGTGGGAAGACACTTTATGTAGCTAATTCAGGTGATTCAAGAGCTATTATAGCTGAAAAAAGAGGGACAGAAATAGTAGCAGTTGATTTGTCAATAGATCAAACTCCATTCAGAGAAGATGAGCTTGAAAGGGTTAGATTATGTGGGGCAAGAGTTCTTACATTGGATCAGATTGAAGGTTTAAAGAATCCAGATGTGCAATGTTGGGACACTGAAGAAGGTGATGATGGTGATCCTCCTAGGTTGTGGGTCCCAAATGGGATGTACCCTGGAACAGCTTTTACAAGAAGTATTGGTGATTCAATTGCTGAAACAATTGGTGTTGTTGCAAATCCAGAAATTGTTGCGTTGGATCTTACTCCAGATCATCTTTTCTTTGTGATTGCTAGTGATGGAGTGTTTGAATTTCTCTCTAGTCAAGCTGTGGTTGACATGGTAAGGTATCTTATTTTATCCAAAAGAAACATGAAATATCTACAATCCATCAATACCCTATTCAAAATCATAAAATTCTAATACCCTTTTTATAAAATTAGGTTTCAAGCTTTACAGATCCACGTGATGCATGTGCTGCAATTGTAGCAGAATCTTATAGACTTTGGTTGCAATTCGAGACTCGAACAGATGATATAACTGTTATAGTGGTTCATATAAGTGGATTGACAGGGGTAAGTAGTTGTTGAACTTGAATTAACTTGAATTACTTTTTTTAAAAAAAATAATTTTCGGGTGTTGAGTTATATATTTTTATGACAGGTTACAGTAGGTCAAGCAGGTATTTCAAGCAGTGCTTTAAGGCCTCCAATACCTCAAATTGTAGAGTTATCAGGATCAGAATCTCCTTCTACAACAATGAATTGGAATGCTAAAAACCAAAGAGTAAGGACTGATATTTCAAGGACACGATTGAGGGCAATTGAAAGCTCTTTGGAGAATGGACAGTTGTGGGTCCCACCATCTCCTGGACATAGAAAAACTTGGGAAGAAGAAGTAAACTTTTTTTACTTTCCTCATTTGTTAATTTTTAGGTCACATTATTGTTGAAACATGATATAAGAGGTGAAAATGGTTAAATTTGGAACAATGTATGAAACTTTTATGGTTTTTTTAGGTTTTGATTAGATTTTTTTTTTTGTTGATAAGTGATTTTTGTTTGTTTTTATAGGCACACATTGAAAGGGCTTTGCATGATCATTTTCTGTTTAGAAAACTTACGGATTCACAGTGTCACGTTTTGTTGGATTGTATGCAAAGAGTTGAAGTTCAAGCAGGAGAAACTGTGGTCAAACAGGTAATTTTTTTATTTGAATCATATTTAGGTTTTCAAATTTGATATTAGAAAATCAAGTCTAATTGATTGGTGTCATATTTGTTATGAAGGGTGGAGAAGGTGATTGTTTCTATGTGGTTGGAAGTGGTGAATTTGAGGTCTTTGCAACACAGGTGATGTTATTGATGCCTTCTTTAAATATAAAAAAGATTTATAATCATCAACTTTTTTTTACATGTTTTGATTTAAAAAAAAAGATACAATTTTTCAACAGGAAGAAACAACAGGAGCAGTTCCTAGGGTTTTACAACGCTATACAGCTGATAAATTATCTTCATTCGGTGAGCTGGCATTAATGTGAGACATCTTTTACTTTATTTAATGTTTTTTCTTTTTAATAAAATTACTATTTTTTGTTATAATTCTATTCCTTTTGTGATTCCATTCCATTAAAGGTACAATAAGCCCCTACAAGCTTCAGTACGTGCAGTGACTAATGGAACTTTGTGGGCCCTACGAAGAGAAGATTTTAGAGGAATTCTGACATCAGAGTTTTCAAATTTATCATCATTGAAATTACTCAGATCTGTTGACCTTCTCTCAAGGTTGACCATTTTACAACTCAGTCTCATTGCTGATGCTCTTTCTGAAGTTTCCTTCACCAATGGACAAACAATAGTTGATAAGGTAAACTAAACTTTATTAATAATTATCAAAAACCAAAAAATACCCATTTTTCAACACTCATTAATATTATATATAAGTATATGTCTATTTGTAGGGTAATGGTGTTTCAGGGTTATATATGATACAAAAGGGAAAAGTGAGGATCACGTTTGACTCGTATATCAGAAGTCAAAATGCAACCAGTTTGATGTCTGATGAGATGGAAAGTGGTTCTGAGCTTTCAATGGAGAAGAGTGAAGGGGGGTATTTTGGGGAATGGACACTTCTTGGTGAATGCATTGATTCTTTACACATTGTTGCTTTAGGTGATGTAGTTTGTGCAGTTTTAACAAAGGAAAAATTTGAGTTAGTTGTTGGTCCTGTGTCACAAGCTTTACAAGATGGATACAGGTAAGAAATCCCACATTTACAAATTTTCCACATATACCCTTTTCCCATAATAACCACAAAAAGATACTTCAAGTGTCTAATCCTTCATTAATCAATTTTGTTCAGGTCAAGAGAAACTTCTAGTGATTTTCCACGTGAGCCTAACAAAAGTATTAATCCGAGTTTGTTCTCAAATGTTCAGCTTTCTGATTTGGTATGAAAACAGCATCATAGTTTTTATTTTTATTTATGTTTATTCTTGAAATCAAGATAATAAATTAATATATCCAGTTTTTATTTAGGAATGGAAAACATGTTTATATTCCACAGACTGTTGTGAGATTGGGCTTGTTCAACAAAAGGATTCAGGTTAGTGCTTCAATCATCTCCCTTTTAAAGAAAACATTAAAGTTGACTTTTGAGGTCAACCAAAGGATTTTTAGAAGTAAAATTGTTGATTTTAGCAGCTTAGTAATAACTTTAAAGTTTAAACACATGGTTCAAAATCTTGACCATTTAGTATAAAGTTGACTTTTGAGGTCAAAAAAGGATGTTTAGAATGAAAATGATTGTAGCATAATTTGAAAATGTTGATGATTTAGTTTGACTGATATACAATTAATGAATGTTTTGTTTGTATCCAATCAGAGCATTTGTTTAGCTTAAAAAGATTTTCAAAACAGAAGATCAAGAAACTTGGGAAGGAAGAACAGGTTTTAAAGGAGAAAAAATTAATAAAAAATGCAAAAGCATTGCCAGGTGTCCCACAAGTTTTATGCACATGTGCTGATCAAACTCATGTAGGCATACTTTTGAACACTCTCATTTCATGTCCAATTAACTCCATACTACACTCTCCACTTGATGAATCATCTGCTCGATTCTCTGCTGCTTCTGTTGTTATATCATTGGAAGAATTACACAAGGTTAGTCTTTCAAATTTTCAATAGCAACATACTTTTTTTATCCTCCACTTCATCAAATATTTTTTCTTTTTATATAAACATTTGTGTATTTAATTTATTTTCTTCAGGCTGGCATTCTTTACAGAGGCGTGTCACCAGAAATTTTAATGTTTGCCCAAACAGGACATGTACAGGTCTGTTTGTTTAACTGTTTATGGTTTAAATGCAATAACTACAGAAATATTTAAAGTAGCTTAAATCATATTAATAATAATGATAATCACATGTGTGTTTTATTTTATGTAGTTAGTTGATTTCAGATTTGGAAAGAAATTAGACAGTGAGAGAACATTTACAATATGTGGAATGGTTGACTCTTTAGCTCCAGAAATTGTTCAAGGAAAAGGCCATGGTTTTGCTGCTGACTGGTAAAAAAAATAAAAATAAATTAAAGCTTTATTATTTCTTCTATACCTGTGTGATGTGGGCCCCACAAAATACAAATAAAAAAATGTTAAATTATTATATGCAGGTGGGGTTTAGGGGTGTTGATATACTTCATGTTACAAGGGGAAATGCCATTTGGTTCATGGAGAGAAAATGAACTTGATACTTTTGCAAAGATTGCTAAAGGACAATTCACTCTTCCTGAAACATTTAGCCCTGAAGTTGTTGATCTCATCACTAAGGTATGAATGAGATTTGACCATGATTTTGACCTCAAAAGTCAAAACTTTTGATACTACCTGATATGGGTTCTCTAAAGATTTTGAGATTAACAACTACTTTGATTTTAAAAGTCAGAATTGTATCTCTTTTTTCACCAACTTAGGTGCAACATAGATTCTTGATCATAAAACTGATATTAGGGTTCTTTAAGTTTCTTCCCCTAGATTTTCAAGATTTCAACTAATTCTCACTCAAGATTTGGATTTTTGGTCATAAACTGTTAAGGGGTTGTTTAAGATTTTCAAGATTTCACAATTTTCACCAAAGATTTGGATTTTTGGTCATAAACTGTTAAAGGGTTGTTTAAGATTCTCAAGATTTCACAATTTTCACCAAAGATTTGGATTTTTGGTCATAAACTGTTATGGGTACTTCAAGATTTTCAAGAAATTGGTTTTTGTGTTATTAACAAAAACAAGTCCCACTTTTTATAACAATTTGATTCTTTTTGAACCTGAAGTTGCTGGAAGTAGATGAAAACGAAAGACTTGGAAGCAAAGGAGCAGATTCTATCAAAAGTCATAAATGGTTTAAGGGTGTGAACTGGAAAAGCATAAAGGATGGCACCTGCACTGCACCACAGGAGATCATCTCCCGTATAGATCAATATCTTGAAAATCGTCCCACAGATAATCTATCTGTATCTGTATCTATTTTGCCAAATGAAGAAATGGATGAACTCAACACACCAGAATGGCTCCATGATTGGTAGAGCTCATGTGTGTTTTGTTCCAAGATCATCTAATCTTGTTGTGTTGGTATAAAATATAAATCTTGCATGAAACATATATATATATATATATATATATATATATATATATATATATATATATATATATATATATATATATATATATATATATATATATATATATATATATAAGCATTAAGCAGACACTATCTATATACAGAGAGGTGTATTGGTTTTTATTCTTTTTTCAACTTGTGTAAATAGGGCATATGTGTGTAAGCATCGGAGTTTTGCTTTTGAATCATCTTTTGTTCCTCAAAACTTGAAATGAATGTATTATATGGATTTTGTTCATATTTTCTGGAGTCCCTTTCTAAATGGATTTTTAGACTACAAGTGGTGGAAAAACCTAGATGGAGTTTGACTTTGACTTGATCAAAAGTCGGTTTGTGACTAAGGTTATGTTTGGTGTGTATAGGCTTGGCTTATTTCTTTCTGTTACATAGGAATAGAAAGAATATGATTTAAATGCCAAACCAATTTATCGACTAACACTGAATTTCTTATTCCTGTTTACTATCTAGATATAAGAATAATCTATCAATCATTGAATTCTTTCATATTGTGACCCTAAAAAGAACGTCATTACGCCAAAAAAGTAACCACATGATCACAATGATAGCTTCCAAAACAATTATTTTCGTTTGAGAAAAGCGTTGCATCAATCCAAAGCACAACATCTTGCATATCAATAAAATCCGGTATGACCAACTCGCACCATCTATCAATAAATCGTCATAGATTTGCAACTACTTGCCAAGAAATGAAAATAAGTCCCATATCTTTTGGTTTGAGTTTGCAAATATCACAAACAATGGACAACATATCCATGCGTTTTGCATCTAAATTTACATGGGTAGCAATCATGTTTAATCGAACATGCCAGTAAAAAAATAAAAGATTAGCAGGGAACAAAAAGGCGCTTTGGTGATTAGGGCGATCGTGACGATATAATCCATAATGTTTGCGTGACTAATTTTCCTTCCCACTTTACTTGTAGAAGACTTGTGAAATATATGAGACTTTGTTGGATGTTTTTATTGTTAAAAGATTGTCAAAGATAGGACAACCATTTGCTTTTGTTGGGTTCTCAAAATCCGTGAATATCGACATTTTACGCTCAAAGCTTTGCACCATATGGATTGAAAAACTTAATTTATTTTCTATCATTGCTCGTTTTCAAAGGGGGTTAATGTCAATTCGATCAAATATCCTATGGTAAACTCCAACTATCATTCATTGGGTCAATCAAACTCAAAATCTTATGCTTCGATTTTACATGGAAATAATCAAGATAAACCTGCGATGGTTATTGATGATTGTTTAGTGTTTAAAAAAGATTCTCTTGCTTATTGGAGATGTTAAGGAGCTTGGATCCCTTACAAACTTATGTGTCATTTGCATTGATATAACATCCTAAAAAATCCAGATAAAAATTTTATTTTTAATTAATTCCAAAACATCAAATATTCATATCAAATCAACCAAAAGTATGTCATAGTAAATAATCATCAGAGTACAAAATCCCAAAATCACAAGATGCTGAAAACATAGACGGATGCGGTGCGATCAGGTCGGGCCATTCCCTTTCAATCTGGAAGTATTTGAAACCATAAACATAAACTGTAAGTTTCCTCAAAATACTCTATACCATACATACATAACAATAAAAAACATCTAGCATCCCTAACATATCAAACCGTGGGCCAGCATTGGTACCTTAGACCTGCTAAACAAAGTGAGGAAACTCAACTCAACCCGCTGGAATCTCTCAATAAAATCTCGGTCTGCTGATCTAGAAAATCCCTGCGCTAACATCATTGAAATAATATCCAATTAATAATTGAACCTCGACCCATAAACAAGAATCTAAACCACTTAACCCATAACCAGGATAAAAGACCATTTTACCCTTTTCTTACTTGGCTTGAAACCAAGGCCCAACCCAAATTACTCAAAAGGCCCAAATCTTAAATGACAACCAGAAGCCCATATGGCCCAATCTTCCAAATTGAGCCCAAAACACATCATGTACCTAACTCCAAAGGAGCCCGATATACTAGTCAAAAGCCAAAACAAAAGTCTAATGGCCCAAAAAGGCATAAATCTTCAAAGCCCAAAGCATGCCCAAAACCCATGAACGCCAAGCCCATGCATCTATCTGCTGAATACGTGGGGCATACTCAGCTCGTACTCCCAGCGTACGCCTCAAAATCCCAAGCTACTTCATTAAGCACTTAAACTGCTAAGACCTTTTGCCTAACTCTCAAATCTGGTCGCTAAGGGTGACTTAATACGTAAAGTTGGCAACTTTACACCCATGCATGACTTAATGGGACTCTACACTAAAAAAGAAGCTTAATAAAGCTCTTAAAACTTGTATGGGCCAAGATCTTCCATAAAGTTTGCATTTTAATGAACAAGGGAAGTCTTTGGAGCTAAGATCTAACATCAATGGCTTCTAGAGAAGATTAAAAGCTCAACTTTATCTCAAAAGACCCAAAATGCATAAACAAAGTCCATAACCTAGATCTAGCATATTGAACCATCAAGTAGAGAACTTTATACCTCAAATGGTTTTAAATGATGATGATAACTCAAGATCTCTAAGCTTCACTCCAAGCAATGAGTCTTCAATATCCTTCTATCACTTCAAAATACACAAGAACACACCAACATTCTTCACAAGTGTGACATCCCCATTTTCACAGCCAAAAAAGACCGATTTTGTTTATGATTTATAAAAATCAGAGTACCTCTTTTAATAAAAATGTTGTGCAATTTGTTCATAGTAAAATGACAAATATGTTATCAAAGCATTTCCAAATAAAAGTATCTTTATTCATTTTCAAACATTTGGGATGTCATCGGCAATACAGAAACATAAGCATAAATAGAACTTATATTCATTATCACTAGTGATTTATATCTCCTTAATCTCTCAGTGTAATGTGACTTCATATTAACACTTGTGATATAAATAAATTTAGCGGGTCAGGTTGGGAAACCTGGTGAGTACATAGGGTTTTCAACCCACAATAAATAAGTTTATTAATTTTATCAAACCAAACAAACCCAATTACCCGTTCCCGTTATCCTCACTTTACGTCCCTAAACCATCTAACACAAGGAACCTAGTCTAAGGACTTCCATCGGGGTGACAACACATGCTTTGGGGGTTCCTCAGAAATTCATGTCAAATAAGGCAACCATGTGGGGGATGGAGTACTGCTGGTGACAGTTCAAATAAGCACCTACAGGTTGCGAACATGCTAGCGTTCCACTGGACTGTCTAGAATAGTCTGTGGTCGTCATCTATACTCCGCTAGATGACTGGATCATCAATAACATCTATATCGAGACCTTTCATTATTTTATTTGGTCACACAACAACTATTACATCTACCCATGTTTTACCCAACACATTTTGTAAATATAAAATACATATACAATTTAAATCATTTAAAACGTGTATAAAAATATTTCACCCAACATAGACAGCAAATATTCAGACAATATGCACACATAGCACATAATTTATATTAAATACTTCATATCTATGTGTAAGATGAAAGGGACCATGCACTCACTTGAAAATGTGGTGATTCCGAACTCAGACAACGCTTCGCTTCTTAAAAATAATTTCCTTCGATGAAACCTAGTATTATTACCAGTAGAGTTTAGTCTATTATTCACCGAGACTAATTAATAGTCTAGCTATTATTACTATTATATAAGCATTAAAACAATACTTATATAATCCATAATAATAGCCCAAATACTTATTATAAGTTCCTAATAACGTTACTATAATTAAATAAAAGCTATATTAAAAATAGCGTAAACGTAGCTCACTTACAACGGGTTTTATAGAAAATCGGGCTTTGCTTGGAGCAGCGTTCCCGAGCTGAAAAACTCTTCTTCTCGGAGCCGTCGAACACTCCGGGGCTTCCGCCTCGTGCTAGGAAGGTTCCATAAGATTTTCGGGGGGTTTCGTGGCTAAAGAGAGGTTCTAGAGAGAGAGAGAGAGTAAAAAGAAGAAGTAATGGGAAATGTGCGAAAAAAATGTGGGTGGAAGATGTTCTATTTATAGGATGAAATATGGCTGAACTTTGTGCCACATGTCACCATCTGGTGGCAAGAGTTGGGGAGAAAGCAATGATCAAGATTGTGCCACGTCACCTATTTTCCCACAGCCACTTCCGACTTCTAAAATCCTTAACTTTCACATACGAGCTCCGTTTTTGATGTTCTTTATATCCAAGCGTAGGTAAAAATAAGATCCACAACTTTCATTTTGACTCTGTCAGCTAATTCTCGACCGATCTTAAATTTAATAGTACGAGGAGATTATACTATTAAATGTTCGCGTAAAATTTATAACTTCTATATACAAACTCTGTTTTCTTCTGTCTTTTTACTGTTGAGTTCATATTAATGATATCTTCAATTCTTATTTAGGTCCCATAGGCCAAAAACCACTCGATCTAAAATTCGAGTTTCGGGTTGTGCACTTATAAGCCAAATCTTAGAAAATTCATAACTTCCTCATACGAAGTCAGAATTTGGCGTTCTTTTTTTGTATGTTCTTAGTTTAACGTATACTACAATTTTTTTTAGATTTATAAGGCTAAAAAGTCATCCATCGTAAATTCATTATTGACGTCTCCCGGAGTTGTGTTAGTTTTGCCGTAAAACTTCGACGGACCATAACTTCTTCGTTATAACTCGGATTTCGGCGTTCTTTATATGTACGATACCCTTGAGACGTATTCTACAACTTGGTTAAGATTCTTTATTCTAAATAATCTTTTTTCAAAAAGTCGTTTCGACCCCTATTGTCTCTAAATTGACGAGCCCAGATCTACGGGTGTTACAATTATCTCCCCCTTTAGGATGATTACGTCCCGGAATCATCAACGAAATAGGGCTCACATGATGACTCCATACATTATCTCTTCATCCTAAGTAATAACCGTAACTTTGATGTTTCTTCGAACGAGTATCTAACTCTAAGACTTCCTGATTGCAGGTGGTGCTTGATCTTGCAGTTGCTCCCTATCTCATGTTAGACTCCAAATTATGACCTTCAAGTCACAATATCGATCCTTACTGGAGACTGCTTCTTCTTCTTAACAAACATAAGATAAGTTATTTTATTACTACAATGGACCGATGTTTCATATTCTAATGACTTATCATCTTATGTTCCCACGCTTAGACTCAAATATCTTAGAGTCTTCCAGAACAGACTATACATTTCTTCATGTTCTAATCACATCTTAAAAGGTAGCATTTCTAGCTACAAGCAACTATCGCGATACCTTTACCGATTGCTTTGATTATCTTTTATTTCAATCTTCTGGCTTAAGTCAGATGCTATATCAAACTTGGTTCTCTGAACCACGTAACA